TAGTTGACTGAATTGTGCACTTTTATACTAGAAAAAGGAATTCTTGACTATTAAATGTCAGAAGAAATTAAGATTAAAAGTAATTCTATGTAACTGTTACAGTGTATTTTGGAGAACACGAATATTTCCTTTGGGTAGTTAGATGAAAAACATTCTTACTTGATATTAATTTTATCACTGACAGCTATTTGTCCTTTAAGAGTACACTTCTGAAAGCTGATATAAAGAGCCATAGTTTCAATAACGTGGATTGACAAAGACTGTCTTGAAAAAACTGATTAAGTGTGGTAGGGAACATGTAGGCTGACTATAGATGAGCACTTGCTTTGTAGATCCAGGATAGGTGTCTTGAAATAATCAAGAAAAAGGATAGGTCCTGGTGAATACCTTCAAAATGAGCACCAGCTTCTAATGGTTTGCATTCTTAGGTCATCTTTATTTAATTTTGAACTGAAATTTTATATAATATGCTCTATTTGTTAGTAGGCGAAAGAGATGTTCTGGAGATTCCCATGTACAGGCAAACCTACCTATAAGCATAGGTGGTACTGAGATTTAGTCTTTAAGCACTTACCTTTTACACTTGCTTCTCTCTTTCTAGGAGGGGCTATCAATAGGCAGCCTATGTGATTGAGGATAGAGCAGCAGCAGGAAGCAAGAAATATTAGAAATCAAGAATCCTGAATTCTCAAATAAGGAAGGTTTCCTGTTCTTACATTTAAATATGGGTTTGTCTGAGCTGGGAATTTACAACGCTTCAGAATACTAGGGTATGTTTTACTGAAATCATTAGGAAGATTATTTTTTCCTATCAAAATTGTCTCCTTAACTGATATATCCTAGTACAGAGCATTCATAGTGAAATATATGCTCTGTTTTTTAATATACATTGCACTATAAAGCAGTGAGCAAATTCTGTTAATTTTGTAGCTGTATCATAAAGTCAAATGATGTTATTAGACTATTTGATTATGAAACTAAATTGATACTTTATAAAAATTATTGAAATGAAAGCCATTAATTTAAACACGTGAATAATTGAAGGGTATTTTTGTTACATATAAAGACACAAAATGGTTAATACTTGAGGGATATTTTTATTGTATTTAAAAAAAATTTTAGGATGATTTTCTTCAAAACTAGAATCATTTTTTAAAAACAGAGTAATAGTTAATTTTTTGCTACATTAGTTTAAAATATGAACTTTTAAAACCTCACAACTTAGAAATTAAATCAGTTATTTCAGTGACAGATTTTACTTTGAAAGCCAGAATATCTTTGAAATTTTCCTGAGTGGATATTAAGTCAACCAAAATGATTTTTTAAATCCTATTTTGTAAAAATTTTTCTGTAACAACTTTTTAATTATTACATTATGTGTAACTTAATGCTTTAATATCTGTTAATGCTTTAGTGTGTGTTAAAAGTAACTTTATAATTTTCTTACAGTATACGTTAACCAAAAAAAATCCACTTAATTTCTAAAAATCTATTTTGATGTTTTTCATTTACCTATTCTTTAATCACTCTTAGACTTCATTGAAGTATGCTATGAAGACTTTACTCAGGATAACTGAATTTTTTTGTTTCTCCTGTGAAACTAAAAACATTAGCTTTGCTTAACTCTTCTGAGACCAGAAATGGCTGCCATTATTTCTTAGTCATAGCAAAGATAATATGTCTACTATAGATGGCTTGTTTTCTGACTTACATTTTTCTTAACCAGGTAAGATAATTCTGCTATAAGAAATTTTTCTGATGGCTGAACCTGAGCCAAAGAAAATTAACTTATTTTCTGGTGTTAACTAAATTATCATTAGGAAATTTAAGTATTTACAGATATATCATATGATATATGGCAGTAGGTTTCCCAACTACTACTACTTTTTTCTTTTTCGTATAATTTTCCTACAGTATACATTAACCAAAAAAACAAATCCACTTAATTTCTAAAAATGTTTTGATTTTTTTCATTTACCTATTCTTTAATCACTCTTAAGTATGCTATGAAGATTTAATTCAGGATAACTGAATTTTTTTTGTTTCTTCTTTGAGAAATAACAGTGGACTCTTTTCTTCAAATGAAACTTTAGACAAATCCAAAGCAATTATGTCTGAGGAAGAAAAATGCAAAAATCTTGCCTAGAACCCTGTTATTTGAAACAGATCTAGCTGGAATGACTCATGTTAAAACTGTCAAATTAAAAATTGTTAAGGAAAGAATGCCATTTAGATGATGCCAATAGAGGAAATTTAATTAAAAAAAAGAGATTGTGTAATTTCAGTGTCTTTGAAAGATTTGATGCCTTTGCTATAGAGTAAGTTCTTAAGCACATTGCTTTCTTTGGATCTTAGTAAATGCCACTGGTTGAAATAACTAAAATAATAAAATACTTTAATTTCCATATATGTCATGAAGTTTGCAAGTTCCAATAAAAAATCATTAAGAACTCATATCTCTCACATGTGTATTTACATATTGCAGTTGTCTTTTGTTAATTAACCAAGTTTTTTTTGTTAGTGTAGTTAAGCTAGTTAATGTTTATAAGACCTTGCATAATACTTAGCATATGCCATTCATTCTTCTAAGAATTATTAATTAATTCCTGTTATTTCCCATAAAAACCTTAGCGGTAAGTTCTGTTATTCTCCTCTTCACAAAGAAGTAACTGAGGCACAGAAAGGCTATGTAATTGGCTCAAATTTACACAGAAGACAAGATGTGAAGGTAGACGATGAATCCAGAACCTCTACATATGTGCCTTAATAATTTTACAAAAAACATTGAAGGAAACAAATTTTTGCTTATTACTATTTAATATTTTTATTAATTTTATCTAACTTTAACTTTAAAGTAGGAATAAAAATGCATCTTGAAACTAGAAAAATAGGAAGCACTTAAAAGATTTTACTTTCAGACTGGACAAGGTGGCTCATGCCTGTAATCCCAGTACCTTGGGAACCTGAGGTGGCGGTATCAATTGAGCCCAGGAGTTCAGTACCAGCCTGAGAGACCCCCCCAAAAAAAAAAATTTTGCTTTTAAATATTTTAAAAATTATAGATGTAGCATTAATATAATTTCAAACCTAAGCAATTTCATACAGTGTATGCCATATGGTAAGCAATTGTGTAGATAGTTATGATATGGAGTTCTTTGAACTAGAATTACTATTTGTAGTGAGTTATTAAAAATATGAGAACTGGGCCATTGTCAGGCCACTGCCTTGCTAAGCTGTGGTGTGGCCATGTGTTCTTTGAGCTATGACCAGGCCATGTGTCTTAGGCTTTGATCCCCTCTCCTACCTTGAGGAGGTGAATCTCCTCTTTCTCAAATTTACTTTTTAAATAAACTATATTATCTAACCTAATTAGACTGTTTTGTTGCTACTTGTAACAAGGCTTCCAAGGATCACATTTTTTTGTAGAGAAGAGGAATACCATCCTCAATTCATAGTACTTGAAAGTAAGCTGAACTGGCTTCTACCTGTCTGAACTGATTTAATATAATAAGGTCACATTTTCTAATTTTCCTATCAAAGCCTTCTTACCTAACAGGAAAAGAAACATCACTTTTTAATAGAGTAGTAAAGAGTAACTCAGCTTATATTTTGGCTGCTCCTAAAGTGACTCATGAGCTTTGTGAAAATGTGTTAAATGATTAGAACCACATATAGTCTGTTTTACTCATACTTGTATAAACATATCTTGATATGTTTTAAAGTCTAGAAAGACGAAGATCACAACATACTCACTAAGGAATAATATAATTTATCTAGATTCCATTATTGTCTTAAATCTTTTAGACTATTGCAGTTGAATTGTTAAAATTCAGTTTTACTTTTGTAACCATAGGTATTTTCTTTGCAGATTTCACAGTCTCCCTACCTACCATAATAGAAAACATACTCCATCTTAAATTATTTAAATAATATAAACTCATTCTTATACAATTATTTAATAGTATTATCAGATAAACTTTTAATTATAATTGATGCAGAGGAATTTTGACAGGCCAGGAAATATATCAAAATAAAGAATGTTGATTTATATTCCTTTGAGTGGTTAAAGAGCCAATTTCCTTAATAAATACAGAGTACCTACAATTCAGTTTGAAAAATAGCAACCTAATAAGACGTTAGGTAAAGAGCATGAACAGACAACTTAAAGAAAAGGAACTTTTAATAGCCCTTAAAAATATGAAAATATGCTCAGCCTTGTTCATATGCTAGGAAATATAAATGGAAACTATTCTGACAAACCATGCTGTTAGGGACGGGGGAGTTCTGAATTACTAATATGAACCAATGTCTAAGATATATAATTAAGAGAAAAAAGCAGAATTAAGTTCAACAAATGAATTATACTATAAAGAAGGTACACATATATTTATATGTATTGGATATCTACAAAAGGATATATAAGAAACTAGGTGAGGTCATCTAGGTGGCTGAGGGGAGGACTGGTGGAATACTTAATATATTTTAAATATTTTTATGGGGGACACGACTGCCTATTCAAAATAACTAATTTGGGGGAAAATATTAAGTCATAGAATATTAAAATCTATAAGGGACCTGTCCAAGCCATTTCTTTTACAGCTGATTTAGAGTTGCCCAAATTTAGCATAACAGCCAGCTTTATCTCACAGAGTTACTGATTTTAGCCCAGCTGCCCTTTATTATACTATTAATTCTTAACTGGGCAGCACATCTTAATAGGCTCTTAATACCAAAGATTCTGTTTCTCTTATTCATCATTGTATTCCATTTACCTAGCATACAGGAGATATTCAGTAAATGTCTGAATGAATAAAATAAATTTAAGGTATTTATTGCTCTGTGGCATAATACAGACTGTTTCATCTCTATCTTTGAAAGAAGAAAAACTTACTTTTCTGTTTCCCATTATGTTGGAAAATTTATAAGTTATTTAGTGTAGTTTAATTTTGATCTGTCCTAAAGAAATATTTGAAAGATATAATTTGTTAATCATTTTTCAGACACTGGCTTCATGTCCTATTGACCGAAAACCTTTTCAGGCAGTGTTTAAATTCAGTGCATTGGAAGGTTGTGTTAAGGTAAGTCTAAGATTTTTTTTGCAGCATGTACTATGTAAAGTTAATTGAAGCTGTTTTACGTTAATAGGTTTCCAGTATGTATATATCTGAAAATTGTTCAACTTTCAGTTTAATATGTGAGTTATTCTTCTGCAGCATGACATGCTCAGACCTTTCAATGAGGATACTGGAATTCTGAACCTTTTTTCCCCCTCTAGAGAGGGCATGTTCCATGATGGTCACCTTATGGCAGTCCACAAAATGTTTTAGATCTCTGATGCCCTAAAAACATTTTACATTAAGTCTTAATTACAGAATGCTTAAATTTTTAGAATATCTTTGTGAGGACTTCTGTATTTCTAAAACATTTTTAACTGGATAACACTTGGAATACATTTTTCCATTAAACGTTTGAAATAGCATGTTAGATTCAAAGACCAACCCCTACAAAAACTTAAGCCCCAAATACCTTAAAATTATGTTTTCCTGAAAAACGTTTATAATTTTCAGGTGAGCCAGTAAAATTAAATATAAAATGATGTCTTTGTTCTTAAATGCTGGTTACCTTATTCATGTTATTTGTTCTGAGCCATTGTTATGATTTGTATTGATGTTGGTTTTTGGCTTACCAAAAAGAAGAAAAAGAAAAGGAAATAGGAACATAATTTCTGAGACAGTGAGTAAGAGAAGAGAAAATGGAGAGTAGTACTTAAGTAAAATGTATGAGAAAGAGATCCCTTGAAGTATCACGAACAAGTTATGAATGATAATTTAAAATGAGAGTACTCAATATATACATATGTGGTGCCATTGATGAGAGAATCAAACTCTTCAGGTAGTAATGTTAGTCTGTGACCACCCAGTTTTATGGTCTATGTAAGTAAGAAAGGGGATGGAAGCAATGTACAACTATTTAAGCACTGTTGTTCTCAATGTAGGTATCTATCATTTGTTTTGACATATTTTTACTAGATGAGTCTTGATACAAAGTATAAACAAGACTGCAATTGAAATAAAATGATTTGCGTGTTGTAATTGGGCAAATTAGTACATATCTTGGAAAAAAGATATAGAAGTGTAAGATAATAAAAATTAAAGTTTGGCTTCTCTGGTAAACAGCCTCCATTTTTCATACTCTGTGTGTGTGTGAATAAGTATGTTGCTACAGATTTATTAGCATGACCTAGCTTCTAAAGATATTTTTCTGTGAAATATTGTTCTGTTGCTTAGAATGAAAAATTTTATTTATCTGATAGAGTCTGTATTTTACTTAAATTAAAAGTTTAGAGTCTGGTATGGTGGCTCTTACCTGTAATTTCAGCACTTTGGGAGATGGAGATGAGAGAATTGCCTGAGCCCAGGGTTTTGAGTCCATCCAGGGCAATTTGACACGACCTCATCTCTACAATAAATCAAAATATTAACTGGGCATGGTGGCATATGCCTGTAGTTCTGGACACTTGGAAGACTGAGGTCGAAGGATTACCTGAACCCAGCGATTCAAGGCTGCGGTAGCTATGAGTATGCCACTGCACTACAGCCTGGGTGACACAATGAGACTCCTACTAAAAAAAAAAAAGTTTGGTACAATGCTAATCTAATTTTACCTAGTTTAAAAGGTACTGTCATATGAGCTATACTTCACATTCTCTTCCTGTCTTCCTTTGACCTTAACTTCTCTTGACTTCATTATATTTTTCTTTTTATAACTAAACATCTTGAGTGACACATCTTGCTTTTCTCAATTCTTTCTTACTTTTCAACTCCCATTGAGCATTTATCTCTGTCATCTTATTTTACTAAAACTGCCTCATGACATTCCAGGCTAATATGATTTCCACATTCCGTGGTTTGTGTTCTGCGTGTAATGCTGGTGATGACCCTCTATTTCCTTTGCTTCTGGGACATCCTTTTCTTCTGGGTGTGTATGTGTTTTATTATTTGACTTTTTACAGTCTTCTTTGTCATTTCCCTACACTCCTGTTCCTCTTCTGGAGCTCCTCATAGGATCATTTCAGTTCCCTGGGTATACTTTCTTCCTAAGTCTTCTCAACTACTACTACCAATATTTAGATGGCTTCTAAAATTTCATCACTAGCTTAGATCTCTTTATTGAAATGCAGACCTATATTTCTAACTACTTGTGCATCTCCATCTAGAGTACTAAAGAAATCTAAGTAAGCATTAACAGATTCTGAACTCACCTCATTCCTTACCCCTTTCCCCAGCCACAAATGTTAATGAGATCACAACCCCAGTTACCAAGGTCAGAAACATATGGAAGTTTTCCATTTTTCTCTCCCTCATCTTGGTTTATTTCTTCTGCTGTGTCCTGAATTTTTTTTTTTTCCTCTGCTGTTGCCTCTTTGTAGGCCCTTATGCTGTCATTTAACCAGTACTGTCCAGTAGAAATACATTGTAAGACACTATATAATTTAAAATTTTTAGTAGGCACATTAAAAAAGTAAAAAGAAACAGGTCAAATGAATTTAATGATTTTTTAAATCCAATATATCTAACATTATTTCACCATGTAATTTAAAAGTTATTGAGAAATTTTTACATTCTTTAAAAAAAATTGTTCTAAGTCTTTGAAATCCTGTGTATATACTTCAGTTACAGCACATCTCAGTTCAGGCAAGTCACATTTGAAGTGCTTAGTTAGCCACATGTGGCTACTGACTATTGTCTTGGATAGTGTGGATCTAAAAGGTTTCCTGGTTTTTATAATCTATCCTTAACTGATTCATTCTCCATATCACTGCCAAAGTTATTTTTCTAAAAAACAAATTTGCTTATCTCATTTACTTGCTTTAAAACTTCACTTACTCTCTGAAGCCTGCAGAATTATTTTCTTATTCAAGGACATTTATAGGCTGTTCCTAACGTATTTCATCATCAACTTCTTGTCTTCTTGCTCTGTTTTTTCCCCCAAATACATCTATTTCTTACTGTTCTTATAACTGTGTTCTTTCCTCCATCTACAATATTTTTTTCTTAGACAAATTCCTACCCATTCTTTAAGACTAACTAATAAAACATCTACTCATTAAAGTTTTCTATGACATCCTTAGATATTTAATTTCTGAGTCCCAAATTAGATGTTTAATTTCTGAGTCCCAAATATATACACAAATCCGTGCTCATATCTCTGTTTTGAGCACTTAATCTATTTCTATGCCTGTCTTTCACTATTTTGCTTCCCTAGAGCTTGGCATACTTATTAATGTTATGGTTTAGCAAACTTGAATGAATAAGCATATGTATTTGAACTACACTTTTCATTCAGTTTTATTTCTGTAATTTTTTTTTATCTCGAGGAAGAACAACAAGTTATCATTTGTGAATGAAAAGTTATCATTTGTGAAGTTGCATTGTTGCCCTAAATAGGTGATTTTGCTTTTCTCATAGGTTCAAGTAAAAAGACAGTTGAGAGAACCAAAGGACAAAAATGAAAGCTCTTTTAAGAAACAGCTCTACTGTCATGAAGATTCTAAAAGCCGTATAAGGTTAGTGATTAACTTTAGAAGTGGAATTCAAATTAGTAGAATGAGAAGTTAACTAGTACAAAAAGAGTACTCTTTTAGACAAAAATAAATAAGTAAAGTAGGATTTAAATGTATTCAATTACTTCTTTGAAAGCACACACTCAGAGTACTCTCAGATTTCAGGAAGGACCACCTGAAATCTGAGAATATAATTTGAACTCTTTGTTAAAGAATTTGGTCTTTCCCCCCCTCCAATCTGTTATATTTATTTGTTTGTTTGTTTACTTTTAGTCTAATGTGTTTTAGACTAAACTTCTGTGAATTAAAAATACTAAAGCAGTGAAAAATTTCTATTAAAATTTCTGAATGCTTATTACCCTCATTTTTATAATTATCACAAATCAATATTAAACACTTAAAAAGTGATCACTGATGTTAGACCACACTTTGGGTAGAACTGATCTAGTTACTTATGAACAAAAAGTAGAAAGTAACTAATGGTATAGCACAGTGTTTCATGAGACACTTGTAATTTAAACTACTTATTACTTTTTACATTTTGCTTTCTTGTGTTAATAGCAGGCACTTGCTATCTACTATAGCAAGTATTTAAAATTAAAATAAAATTAAATTAAAATTCTAAAAAATATAAATGGATTTGTTTTTTAATTGCGATTGTTAAAATCATTGCCTTATTTTGCCTAGAAATAACAGTGCTTAGTACTTGAGTTTAATTGTATTTAATATCATGATTTAACTAAATTGAATATGAGTGATATGCTAGAAATTAATTTGTTATTTAAATGCTTAAAGTAACTGTTTTAATACTTTAAAACTTAAGCCTTTTTGATCTAGAATGTATTTAGAGCTGTCCCAAAAGTTACATTTTTAAGTCAGTATGTTGTCAAATTCATAATTAAACCTATGGTTCATTAGTATATTTCATTAGAATACTAATGTGTTCAGAGAGGAAATTTATTTAGTTACTAAAACAGTTGGAAATAGTCATTGAACTTATCACTCATTTATAACACTGTAGTTTCTTAGATCTTAGCTTTTGGGTAGTTACGGACTTCTTTAAGAATGTGAAGAATGCTGCAGATCCCTTCTGGCAGAAAAATACACGTGTTTACATATGATTCAAAGTATTCATGGAGTACTCACTTCAAGAGTTCACCCATGAACTCCAGAGTTAATAATTGCATTAGGGCAAATTTTATAACTATTTTTAAGTCAGCTTTGGCTCTTACATTTATGCTTGCATAGAAGACAGCACACCTTTTCAGGCATAGTGAAGAAATACCTTTTGGTAGAAGTGTCTTCCTTCATGACATAACTCTTATTACTGGTTGTGAAAATGTCACAGATGTGCTTTTTTTTGTGCTCCCTCAAAATTTTTCTTGGCTATTGCTTTGAGTGCAGTGGTCAGCACTAAATAACCTGTAAGACTCATATCTCTTATTTGGGTGTAATGTAGCTACAGTAGTCCACATTTAACTGCTTTTTCTCAGAGACTTGTCCTAGGGGGATGGTATAGGGAAATAACAGATACAAAATAATAATTTGCCTTTGTCCACCAAATCATACCTTAAAGATTTCCCAAAGTGGAAAGTCTCTGTCAGCTATTGAATATTTTCAGTATACTCATTTTTGGAGACTTTTGGATGATTTTAGCAGTCCTGTCATTCAGTCTTCTGTTAACTGCATATGCCTGGTCATTTCAGCATGCAGACGAGGTCCATTAAATTTTGCCTCTCTCTTCTCAAGCAATATGACCCTGATACCCTTCCCTTTTGAAGAAATTAAGGGATTGCAGAGGTATTTTGTTTCTTGGTAGTGACCCTCCATTTAAAATTACTGGAGTGGAGAATGGCAGCCGAGTGGGGAGTGGCAACTAGTCATGCTTTCTTTGTTAGAATTTTTGAATAAAAATTTTCTTTTAAAAAGGGTAGTATCTGCTTACCTCTATTGTACATAGCCCAGTAGCCTGCCGGTTATGATCAGCCAGTAAGATTATTGTTTAAAGACTGAGATGTTACAACTTATTATGTGTTAAAATCTAACTTGGCATTCTAATATCTAATAGGATTCTATGAGAATACAAGTTAAACCATTTACCAGATGTTTGACATAGTTAATAAAATTAGCGTCTAATAACTTGATAATAAATTGAACATAAATTAGCAAAATGACAGTTTTCTCTTAATTCTTTCACTTCTTTATTGATATTTACAGAAAAAAAGCCATCATAAGGGAAGATCTATTAAGTACAAAATTTTATGACTTGAGGATTATACATAGTAAGTAATTTTTTGCTTGTGTGTTCTACCTTTTTTTTTTTTATAATTTCATGATTGTGCCAAAGTTCTCATTAATAACATTTTGGTCTGGAAAATAGTCCTCAGAATTCTGAACATTGTGTTAAGTTCTACATAAATTTGTTTTCATGGAGTAATGTATACTGTTTCCAGTACTTTCTTTTCTTTTTGCTCCACTTGGAGTGAAAGATGTGTGTGTGTGTGTGTGTGTGTGTGTGTGTGTGTGTGTGTGTATGTGTATGTGTGTGTGTACACACACATACACACGCGTACTTTGAGAGAAGTGTTTCCCAAATACCTAATGTTTAACAACTACGTTGTAGTCCTACTCCACTGATGAGTGCCTAAGTCCTTAGGGGAGATGAAATAAAATACCCTGTAGGCCAGTAACTGTAAGCTGTAGCAAAGGAAGTCTGTGACAGCAAGAAAAAATTCAAAATTCCCAGAGGCAGTTGTGATTTGGCTTCTAACCAGTTTTAATGTGAAACTTTGGAAATAAAGTACCTCTAACATTTATCTACATGAGCAGTTACATATTCCTGTCTTTTGTTCTTGTCTGATACATAATGTGCTAATACAGGAAGACTTTGCAGCAGGACCTGAATAAAATGGTACCTCCCATAATGCTTTGTGACTCTTCTTTGGAGTTCAGGCTGTTTATTGTGTTCCAAAGAGCACTTTATTCCAGTCTTTTTGTAAACAAGGAGGTGGGCATTTATTTTCCAGGCTAGGTTACAGTGAACTTCTTTTTATAGATAGAACTTGTGAATTAGTGATCTATGAAAGAATCAATGCATTCATTACTCTAAAATATAAATAACTTCCTCTTTAATACATTAAGTATACCAAGTTTGTTTATTTTGTTTTTTTCTGATTGGAATTAACATGATCTTTCAAGTTAGGTTTACAGAGTAGCAAATGTTCTTTTACCTTTGATAACATACTATTAAAGTGAATTTACATGAAAAGTTGGTTTGTTTTGATCTCTGGACTTTAGTGGCTAAAAGGCATTTTTTTTCTGTTAAATAGTTTTAGATGTGGATTCGGTCTTTGTTTTGCTATGTCGGTGCTGTAGATTTAGCTTCTGTAGATTTAGCATCCTTTTATGAATAGACTTTGCTTGCCAACATTAGGATTCAATATAAAATTTACTACTGAGGAAGAGCAAATGATGTTAAGATTTTCTCTAGACAATTTGGCCTACTCTCACTATGCTAATCTTGGTTTTAAGACCACTATAATTTGCTTTAAGTATATATCTTCATCTTGGGCTTAATTTTAGAGAATGGAACAAAGACAGGTCATAAATTCATATGAAAGTCATTTATAAGAATCTGTGATTCATTCTGATTTGAGGTTTTGTTTTAGTATTTAGGATATGAAATATTAAACAGATTTTAAATGACCATCCTAAGCCAATTTAAGATTAGAAAGCTAATTTAAAATAGAAAGTTTTTAAATGAAACTATTCCTTCCAGAGGATAACATTGTCCAAGGCCTGTAACTTAAGGCCATATCTACTTAAGGCAAGATGCCTGAAATCATTTATTTGGTTTACAGTAGGCAGAAATATTCATTATACTTTAAAAGTGAATAATACTAGAGTGTCGATGCCTGAGTATTTGTAAGTGTCTTAACTGAATCAGCGTGGACTGATTTATTTATTTATTTTTTGAGTTGGAGTCTCACCTTTGTCACCCAGGCTGGAGTGCAGTGGCGTACTTATGGCCATTGCAACCTCGACCTGCTGGGCTCAAGCAATCCTTCTGCCTCACCCTTCTAAGTAGCTGGAACTGCAGACACACGCTACCACTCCTGGCTAGTTTTTGTGATTTATTGTAGAGACGTCTCACCAAGTTGCCCAGGCTGGTCTCGAACCCCTGGGCTCAGGCAATCTTCTCACCTCAGCCTTCCAAAGTGCCGGTATTACAGGATGAGCCACCACACCCAGCCTGTGGACTGGTTTGAAGGGACCTAGATACAGTAGTTACTCCTTGTCCGTGGGTAGTTACTCCTTGTCTGTGGGTAGTTACTCCTTGTCCATGGGTGATATATTTCAAGACCCCTAGTGGAATCCTGAAACTATAGATAGTACCGATCTCTATATAATATTTTTCCTATATGTACATAGCTATGATAAAGTTTAATTTATTAACTAGGTACAGTAAGAGATTAACAATAATAACTAGTAATAAAATAACTAATAAAAGTTATGTGAATGTATCTCAAAATATCTTGTATTTTACTCACACTTCTTATCAGGAAGGTGAGATGATGAGAGATTTCATCATGCTACTCAGTGGTATGCAATTTAAAACTATTGTTTATTTCTGGAATTTTCCATGTAGTATTTTCGAGCTACAGTTGACCACGTAACTGAAACTGCAGAAAACAAAGCTGTGGGTAAGGGGTGACTACTATACTTATTGATTATCCAATTAGTTAATTTTTCTATGCTGTTACTTTTTACTAAGGGAATTTAATAAGTCTAGCATGATCAGTATTTCTTCTTGTATTGACATAGTTTTTTTTTAACCTGATGAAATCACTTATATTTAGGTATCATATTTAATGACAATTACTCAGGTCCAAATTCTAGATTTATACTCAACACATACTCTGTGTTAGATGTTCATATTGGAGAGACAAAGGGAATTGAGATCACTCATTTATGCTGAGTTCAAGACTCTTAGGAGTCTAGTAGTGAACAAATCAACAAAACACTTCTGATAAAAAATATCTTCTTTTGGACAATAAAAAGATAAATATAGGTTGGGTGCAATGGCTAACGCCCATAATCCCAGAAACTTGGGAGGCTGAAGCAGGAGGATCACTTGAGCCCAGGAGTTTGAGACCAACCAGGGCAACATAGTGAGACCTCATCTCTTCAAAAATTAAAATAAAAAAATAAGCTAGGTGTGGTGGCACTCCCCTATTCCAGCTACGTGGGAGGCTGAGGAGGAAGGATTTCCTGAGCCCTGGAAGTCAAGACTGCAGTGAGCCGTTATCATGCCTCTGCACTCCAGCCTGGGGAACAGAGTGAGACCCTGACTCAAAAAAAAATAAATATGTATATAAATATGTGACAGATGGTGATAAATGCTTTAAAGAAGTATAACGCTCGATAAAGAAAGGGTGATGACATTGTGGAGGTATTTTATATAAAGGATTTGGGAAAATCTCTTGAATAAAGATATATTTGAGCAATGGCCTTAAAGAAGTAAGGGATTAAGTTATGAGGCTGTCTCAGGGAATAGTGTTCCAAGCGAGGGAAATATAAAAGCCTTGAGACAAGAGTATTCTTGGAATATGTTTCTGTGAATAGCAAGGAGGTTAGTGTGACTAGACTGACTGAGTTGGGGCGTGGGTCATTTAGGGCCTATGTGAGAAGAGCAGTGTTTTCAAGGGTAACATGATCTAATCCATTTTTAAAGGATTACTCTGACTGTTGAGGAAAGAAAATCAAAGGACAGTAAGAGTAGAAACCTAGATTGACTAGTTAGGTAGCTTTTAAAATTTTCTTTTAGGTTACTTTTTCTAGGTCAAATTATGGTGACTGGGGCCAAGGAACAAGGTATTAACTGGAGGTGATGAGAAGTGGTTCAATTCTGTGTACAGTTGACCCTTGAGCAATGCAGGAGTTACTCTTGTGCAGTTAAAAATCAATGTATAACTTTGGACTCCCCCAGAGCTTGACTACTAGTAGCCTACTCTTGACTGGAAACCTTATCAATAACATAAACAGTCAATTAACACATATTTTATATGTTATATGTATTATATACTGCATTCTTACAACAAAGTAAGCTAAAGAAAATGTCATTAAGAAAATCTTAAGGAAGATAAAATATATTTACTATTCATTAAGTGCAAGTGTGATTATCATGAAGGTCTTTATCCTTGTATTTGCACTGAGTAGGCTGAGGAGAAAGAAAAAGGGTTGGTCTTGCCATCTCAAGGGTGGCAGAAACAGAAGAGGTAGAAGAGATGGAAGAGGAGACAGGTGCAGGCACACTCTGTAACTTTATTGACAAAAATTGTGTATAAGCAGACAAGTGCAGTTCAAACTCATGTTTTTTTAAGGGTCACCTGTATTGTACTTAAAAAGTGAAACTAGCAGGGTTTGCTGATTAATTGGATATAGGTTACAAGAAAGTAGGAAAGCAAGGTTGACTCCAAGGTCTTGACCTAAGCAACTGGTAAAATGGGAGTTACCCTGTTACTAAGATGGGAAAGGCTGGTAGGATATCTGGGAGGGTATAGTCAGTAATTCTTTTTTGGGAGTAGAATGGTGGTTGCTGGAGAGATAGGGAAATGAGGAAAAGTTTGTCAAGGGTTACAGAAGTTTATTTATGCAAGGTGAATACATTCTAGAGACCTAATGAACAGGTGTACAGCAATGTGAATTTAGTTAACAGTACTTGAAATTTGCTAAGAGGATAGATCTGAAATGTTCTCACTACAAAAAAAAAGGAAAATTATAGCAGATATGTTAATTAGTTTGATTTTGGTGATTTTTTTCACAAGGTACTTATATTTCAGGGCACTAAGTACCACACCTTAAATATATACAATTTTTGTCAATTATACCTCAGTAAAGATGGGAAGAAGAAATTCTTTTTTCTTTGGACACGCAAGATGTGTACAGCCAAGTAGAGATTCTTTGAAGAAGTACGGATGTTTGCGTGTTGTGTACAAACAAGATCTATTCATCTTCAGTTTATTTTAGTGGTGATCAGTTTGTGTAATATATGTTTATTTGTTCTTGATTGCTAAGTTAAAGTGATGGTTTCTCCAGTTGTTATTTTTTTTCTAACTCTTAAATTCAGGCAAAATGTTTTGGCTATTATGATAGAAATAAAACTGAAGATTGAAATCATAGCTAAAATTTTTATATATTAGTGTCATAAGGAATAATGCTATGCAAGTAGACATTATTAAAAAATTTTTTCGGCTGGGTGCAGTGGCTCATGCCTATAATA